ATCAGAGCTTATTCTGTACCTGATCGACTCTGTGAAGGCATTTGCAAATAAATCCACCAAATCACACCGAGGCAGAGACTTTTCCTCAGCTGTGTGCCCTGGACCTCAGCTCCAAGTTTTCACTGCTGAGGAAGGTGTGAATGAGCAGGATGCAGCTGCTGCCTCTGCTCCTCACGGGTGTTCATCTCCCTGCAGACTGGCAAATGCCTGCCTCAGGAGCTGGAGCTCACCCACAGGCGTGAAGAGGAATGTTTTATTCCTCTGTTGCTTTGCTGTTTGATCATTTTCAAGACTTTTGGTGAGGTTAATCAAGTAAATGTATTCTGTTGAGGGGGAAAGAGACAAACAAAACGGTGTGTCAGATGTCAGGAGGCTGCTCCAGGAGCACAAACCATCCTCTTATCCCTCCATGCAAACAGAACATGCTCCACCTCCCTTTTGCTCAATAATCCCTAATATTTTACTGCTCAGGTTACTGATGTCTAAACAGAGCCACTTTTATCCTGCTCTGACCTTCCCTGGCATGCAGAAAAGGCAGATTCACTTTCCTGCAGGAGCAGCCCGTGGCAGTGGTGCTCAGGGATGTCCTGCTGCTGTGCTGGCTGCCAGCACTCACACCACGGCTGCCTTACCCATGGTGGGCTCCAGGCTCCCCACGGGAAGCTGCATCAGTTCTGTGCCCATCGCCTGCTCCACAATCATCCACCTTTGGCAAGGGAATGGATTTTTTGCCAGTTTCAGAGGTGCCTGTTGAATATAAAGGAGTGCCCACACGCCCAGCCACAGGGTCTCTGTTTGGGGGTACAGTTTCTCCAGCCACTGGAATTTGTAGGGGTTGGAGCACTGCCTACATAAAACATCCATTTGTCATGGGTCAGGAGCAAGACAACTTTTCCCAGTGACAAATATTTTGGTGCATTAAAACCACAAAATTGCTTTGACATTAAATTATTATTTTTTTTAATTTTACTCACGTTTAACAGTCAAAGCAGAGCTGTTAGGTCATGGTTTGACCCTGCAGTAAATCTAACTGTAATTTCAACAGTGAAGCAGAGGACTGGTCTGATGTAAACTCACTCTCCCCACCCCAATTTACTTTTAAAATCATGAATATTCTGCAAGCAAGTTTTATGCTGCATTAGGCATCACCTCTCCATCACTCCAGCTATGTGGTGTAGCAATACTCAATTGCTTTCTATACTGGTTATTTCAACAAAAATATGCAAAAAATATTAGGAACCTACACCTGCTCCAGATGAAAATGGGACTCCTTCCTGCTCTCCATTCCTAAGGATTTTGGCATCTTCCTTTGCTGGAAACTGATGAGAAATATGCCCTGTACCTGTCCCTTCCTTCTTGCCCAGACACTGTGGCTGCCTTTGAGTTCTCAAGTCTGGGGGAAATTTAAAGTGTGAAGATATAAAAACACTTAATTTACATTAGAGGTTTGGCTTGTATTGTTGAGTAGAAACTCAGCAGCTTCCACAACCTTTAAATGCAACACCCCCCTCAACCTGACAGTGCTATTTTTATAAAGAACCACCAAAAGGAGAAACAAAGGTGTCTTGTGGGCTTCCTGAATGGTGTAAATCCTCAGCAATATGTTTTTCCTCTGTGTATTGGATATTATGAAGATGACTTCCTTCGCAAGATATGATTTTTTGGGCATTAAAATGGGATCTTTCGAACCTCATCTGCCCTTGATAATGTCAGCAGTGAGGGGGAAAACTGCAGAAGTGCTGAACCCTACATAACATGGGAAGTCTGGCACTCAATTAATTAAGACTCACATCTTAAAACCGGAAAATCTCAGTTTTCATAGGGCTGTATGTAGCACATAACACCAGGTGAGAGGGGAAACCCTGCCATAGTTAGAGGGGAAGGAACATCCATGGTCCGAGGTGGAGGAATGTCCGTGTATGAAGGGGAAGGAATGACCATGGTTAGGAAGGAGAGCAGGGTGAATACCCGCACCGCCAGACGCCAGTATTGCCAATATTTGCTTTTTTAGCACTGCTGGCCACCATCGATCTTGCACGGAGTCCCCTCTGGCCAGCATGCACACACCTGAAGCGACACGAAACGGCCCCACACTGAGGGGACCGCGGGGACACGGACCCTCCTGCGGCACCGCACCACGGGAAGGCACCGTTTACCCCCGGTCCCCTCCACGTTCCCCGGGAGCTGTGAGCTGAGCAGCAGCCACAGCAGGCACAGCAGCCCCGCCCTGCCCCACCCTCAGCCTTTGCCCGCACCAAAATGGCGGCGGCCCCTGAGGGGCGCGCTGGGCGGGGCTGCCCTCCCGGGCCGCGCCTGCGCGGGGCCGCGCGCGCCCCCACTTCCGGCTGCCGGCGGCCGCTTCCGGCCCCCCGTTCCTTGGTAACAATGGAGCAGAAAATGGCCGCCTGAGCGGGCAGGAGGCGGCGCGGCGGCGGAGCGGCACGGGCGGAGCGCGGACAGCCGGCACCCAGCCCCGAGCGGCGCGGGCAGCGGCGCACCCACAGCCGGGGGGACGGCGGCGGGCGCTGGGCGCTGGGGCTGCGTCCGCGCTGCCCGCGGGCAGGGCCCGGCACGGCCGGCTGGGCTGCAGCGGGAATTGGAAGCGGCTCTGGAGGGGGAGGGGGCGGCCGTGGCTGCTGCCCTGGGCCTCGTCCGCAGCTCGGGGCCTGCTGCGGGAGCCGCCGCTCTTCACGGCCCTGCTTTGCCGGGAGGCGAGGCAGGAAGCCTTGTTGTGGAAGACAGGCGAGAGGAGCTCTTCCTCTCCCGCTCTGGATCAGCCTGTGACCCGTTCGGACCCGTGCTGTTCGCTGTTCCTGTGCTGAGTTTCTCCCCAGCTGAGCACGTCATCTTTGCTCTGTCACAGCTCCCTGTGCGAGCTTTTCCCTGCCCCTTTTAGTGGTGTTTGTTGGCATTTAAGGTTTCTGTTTCTCTGTTTTAAAACCCTTGTCAAGTCCAGCTGCATGTTTGTGTTTATCTGCTTTAATTGGGGAGCAGTATCAGGCTGTGTATAGGAGTGTGTATGTATGTAATGTAGTGATGATTAAGGTTTGTTTATAAAATGTGTCTTGATTTAGTGGGCAGTAGAAGTCTGACAAAAGGTTTCACAGCAAAAAAACCCTGAATTTTTAAAATAATAGTAGTATTTTGCTGTTTCTCAGGAAGGTGGAGCCTTGGTACAGAGCAGCTCCTAATCAAGAATACAAACTTGACAATACCCAATAGTACCATCACACATCACTTTTATTTTCCTGTCCATGTTGGCAGTATTGGGTAATTTCAACTTGGAAATACTTGTCAAATGTTCAAAAGAACTTCTGACACTAATTTGTCCCTGAGTTTTAATTGCAGTGACTTGTCAAGTCTTTCTAAAACAAATAAACAGTTGGCTGCTTCTTGGACAGTTAATTATCCTAATTGAGGGTCAGATATTTAGTTTTGTTGTGGTGGTCACCTAGCACTTAAAGTGACTCTGTTCCCTCTACAGGTTTGCCATTTTGGAATTAAAATAATGATAGCTTGGAATTATGTTCTGGGAAGGGGAAACACACCACAGATTATAAAATTAAGGGTTTCTTGTTGTGTTAGACCACTAAGGCCCAACAAGTGCAGTGTTCCCTTCATCAGCAGCTCTGGCTGGGTAAATGTTTGTCACTGAAATAACCACACACCAGTATTTTTCAAGCTGTAGTGGTTGCTATCTGTATCATATTTATTTTCCATATTACTGGATGAATTCCTGGACAAGAGTGTTGCAAGTGTCTGCTCTCCAGTATGTCTAGTTGGTTTTTTTTTAGAGGAATGGGTGATCCTTAGATGGAAATGTTTTCAAAATACCTCTACATCAATACACCTGCCTTGCTTGTTCCTTTATTCCTCTTCCCCGTGGAATGTATCAAAATAATCCCTTGATCTTGGCAGAGTCATTCCAGTTGCAGTGGAGGTGTTGTACATGTTTTTAACAATCACAGCATAATGTTCTGACTCCATACACTTGAGTCTAAAGATTGTATTTAAGTCCAGCCTAATGTAGCTTAACACATTACTGGAGTGTCCTAAATTCCTTTTTTTGTAGAGAACTTCATTTTCCATGTGTTGAAACACTTGAATCCAGACATGGTCATTGGGTGTTTTGTGGTTTAATCTCAGCCTTGGTGAAAATTTATCAGCTGCTGAGCTTGCAAAAATTATTTGTGAAGGGATAAAACCAAATGTGAACATTCCCATCTTCAGGATGCTTTTATGAGAGTCTTGTGCTTCTCAAAACCAAAACTTCTAAAGAGTGTAGCAGTGTCATATCTCAGTCAGGAGCTTTGTGTGCTGAGTAGGGATAGCCAGGAGCATCCCAGGGACTGGTTTTGCCTTTGCCCAGGTTCTGGCTGCAGGTAAGATCATAAACACGAGGCTGTGTCTCCTTCAGACTGCTCAGGTTTGTATTAACGAGTGCTTGGTAGGAGCTTTTGGCTGCTCTGCAGTGTTGAGGCTCAGCTTTTGACTCAGGAGGTCTGCAGGGTTGGATGGTCTCGTAAAACCACTTGATGATTGTGGAACACAGGAAAAGCCAGCACATATTTTATCTGAGTTCAGTATTTAAAACCATCTTATGCTCGGAGCACTCTGGGTTTTGGTGTGCAAGGTGTATGTGCACAGAGTCCTGTTAAAATGCTGCAGCTTCCCTGCCTTGGGATGGCATCACAAATGGAATTCTCGTGGTACAGATGCCTATTTAAATTCAGATAAATTTGCCTTCTCTGTATTTCCCACTTCTGTGTTTGTTGGGCAGCGGATCTCAACAAGAACAGGAGCGCACAGGTCGCAGTTCCTCTGTGGCTTGTGCTTGCAGTGATTGTTGCTCTTTCACTGTTGCAGTGCCTGCATTAGCAGCAGTTGTGTGGGGACAGGAAGATTCAGCAGGTCAGAATTTAAAGATGCTTTTTCTTTTCTAGTTGAAAGTCAGTGAGTGTTGATTGGCTTGGTGTTTTTGCTAACCGCAGCTTGTGTTTCTTCAGGAATCAAAACTACTTGTTGGATATCAGTCCTGTTCCTGTGCTGTCTCTCAGGGTCAACACTGGTTACCTGTGAGCAGCTTTACTTCTTTTGAGTGCAGAGTGGGCCTTCTGCTCCTGACCCAGCAGGAAGCTCATTTCTGGGCAAAAAGAGCATCATTTCATGAGCCTGCAGTGCTGGAAACTTGCTGCACCTCGTATACACCAAGCTTTCTCTTGTGTGCTGTCTGAATTTGATGGCAAAGGCAGTGCTATCTTAATTTTATTTTCCACTTGTATGTGAAAAGTGTTGTTTTAGTAAGTGTAGATGATAAAAGGCAAAGCCCAGGATTTTGGCAGTTGTTTCTGCATTTTATTTTCAGAGCTCCATCTTGGTTCCACATGCTCTCAGTGTTCTGGAATTGCTAAGCTCTGCCCTGATTTCCTCACTTCTTTCTGACTTATCAGGAGTTGTTAGTGTTTCTCTTCTTTATCTCGGCAGTTGGTTCAGCTGAAGTGTTTTTGCTCTCTGGTCTGTTGGGTTTTTTTATTCTGTGGAACTTTCTGCCACTGTTCTGCAAAAGTATTCATTTGCTTTCTGTTGTTTGAAATGTATGTTCAGAATGACATCTTGTTTGAGGGCCTTTGCTTTGAAACACTCTGGGGTAGTGAAAAAGCTGAATCGATGTTTAACACTCCCCTTGTTAAAATGGCATTTAAATTTTACAGCGCTTTTCACAGAACACTTCCATAGGATACAAAACTTTCTTCCAGATTTGCAAGAGTGGTGCATGTTTCAGGATAACTTTTGAGTTAAAGAGGACTGGGGGTTCTTGATTTTAAAACTTATGGTAGGTTTATTAAAAAGCTAATAAGAACCTAAATGTGCTGTTCATGACAGTGGCAATAAAAAGCCACAATAGCAGGGAAACAAATCCCAAAATTCATGATGCCACTTGGAAAACTAGAAAAGTTTGTTCCTTTTTACTGTTTATAAGATGGAGATGAGTGTATTGGACCTGTGGTATCAAAGCCTTTGGTGTGATCACAAAAGGAAGCTTGTGCACCTGCACAAAAAGAGAAAGCCAAACAAACCTGACATAATGAAGCTCCATGTATAATGCAAATAGATGACTTTCATTTCACTGTCTTAGGGTGTCTTTTTCCTTTAATGATGGGATTCACTGACAGTTTTTGCTTCTGCTTTTGAGCTTGCAGACTTGAGTGATGAAATATTTAGGATGAAAATTTAGTTTGTGTTATGCCTTACTTCCAGCTAGTTTTGAGTATGGAGAAATTGGATACCGACTGGCATGGAAACTGTTTTTCAACTTTGAATTCTTCTAGGAAAATGAGGTGGAGTGGGTTGGATGAGTGCTGTGTGTGAAGTGGGTTCAGTTTGTGCTTGAAGGAGCTGGGCTAAGAGGACTGCCTGTTCTAGCTGCTGTTCCTGTGTCATTTGAGACATGGAATTGGAGCGAGGCTGGCTGGGGCCGTGCTGCCATGGCACGTCAGAGCTGCTGAAGTCACAGTTCGTGGAAAGCGCTTGGACACGCAGCTGTGCTGTGCTTCTCTTTGAGGCATGTTCACTGCAGCCTGGGCAGGGAAAATCGCCTCTAACCACCCAAAGCAAACAAGTCAGTGCTTCTGGCTTCCATCCTGAGTCACTCCTTCAGTCCAAGGGTTTGATCAGTTCTGTAGACTGCGAGTAGGCAAGGTGCTCTACCGGTTGGAGTAGCTAATTAAGATGAGGGTATGAATCATAAATGAGAAGTTGGCCTTCTGCTGAGGACATCTCTGGAACACCCACGCTGCCATCCTCTTTTTTTCTGTTTATCCAGAGGTATTAACTGTGGTGCTGGGACGTGAGGTAGCTCAGGAAACATTCCTGCCACACAGGGCACGAGGGATTCTCAGGTGAAGTTGAAATACCGGTAACACCGACATGGGGGAGTTCTAGAGGAACTTCTTGCACACCTGACTCATGGGCAGCTGAGTTGTTTCTTCAGTTTAATTAAATTCCATGCCTTGTGCTGTAACAATTTGAGGCTTGCCCCATAAATCTATGAAAATTTTAATTTTAAAGGTGTCACTTTTTCATTTAACCCTGCCAATGAGTGATTTCAGGGTTTGTCGGATTTTCTAAATTCTGCCTAGTTGGTTTAATGAGAGCTCTAATGTTTTATGGGATTTCTTTTAAATATAAAAAACCCAGGAATGCAGGCAAAGGTAGTGTCTTGGTGTTCAATTCAGGCAACTGATGTCAGGAGATATTACACATTATTGAAGGAGGAAGAACTAGAGATTTATTACTGTGCATTATGGTCCATTAGTGCTTTTTCTGGGGAGAATCCTGTAGGCCACAAGTGCTGTGCAATATGGAGATAGGCTGTGTTACTGTTGAAGGTAAGTGGATGACACACATGTTATCCCTGCTTCCTGTCCCCCTAGATTTGAGGCAGTAGCACATTCCTGACTGGATTTAGTCTACAAACAACCTGGCATGAAAGAAAACAAAATAATTCTTATGCTGTAAGAATGATAACTTTGTATTATTGAGGGAATATCCAGTACTATTAAATTGTCCCTATCAAAAAAACCTATAGTATTACTTCCTCTTGAATTAAAGGAATGTAACAAACAATAGCTTTTGTGGGCTTATTGCAGTCTGGAGCAGCAGTGGGGAGACAGGCAGTCATTTGTGCTTGGAAATCTCTGAGGTTGTTGAAGCGTAACTGCAGGGAAGATACTTTTCTGATTTGTGGCAGGATGGGAGCACCAATTAAGAATTCACTGTAGTTACTCTTGTCTGGATATTCAGCTGTTGAAGAATATTTTTTTTAAGGAGACAGTTGTTTATCCTATCTCTGATTCTCTTGCATTGTGCAGTCCTTAGGTGGTCACCCCCTCACTTCCCCGTGAAGAGATTTTCGTACCTGGGTATCTCAGCTGAAGTTGGCAGTAACCAGCAGGTCTGAACTTCCTGCTCGTAGCTGTGACCTTCCCCACCCTGTGTCAACTCAGTGCTGACAAGGAAGGACACTAAAGGAGGAAATTCTGACTCTTTTAGCTTGGATAAGAACAAAGTCTTACACTGGAAGAAAGAAAAGCAGAGTTGAACTGTACTTGCTTATTAGATGGCCAAATGTTGGTTGTTTTGTTGTAAGCTAACAGTGCACCTGTTGCTTTTCCCTCATCAGGCTTCCCTGCATTACTGGCTTCCTCCAGCTTAATTGTCCGGAGGGTGTGAGCTGAGAGCAGCGTCCTGAGGGGCAGATTTTCAGGTTCTTTGTGCCTCTCTGTGCAGGGCCATGGTAACTCCCACCGTGGAAATCCTGCTGTCCAGGCAGATGGGCTCTGTGGAGTCTGCTGAGGCAGGAGCAGTTTAAACATTCCAGTAGGTTCAGTCTGGCCATGGAGAGCTCTGCAGTGGGCTGGGAGGTGAGGCTTACATTGGACAATGAGCTGAGTGCACAGGGAGGAGATGGAAACCAGCAGAAGCTTGGGTTAGGAATCCTGGTTTTCATTTGCTGGTTTTAATATCAGAGCTCTGGTTTGAGGAGTATCATCCCATTTGCTGTCAGCAGTCACGTAGGGAGAATGTGTTGTTGCTGCTGTGTTTCTGTGCCATCTGTATTTCCATCGGTGTAAACTTCCCAGAGAGATGCACAGCATTTCTGGGATCCTGAAATCGGGATATGGGGGGCTGGTGTAACCTGTTAGTAGTTTGCAATAGGGAAATACAGCAATTTTTCACTAGCAGAAGAGTCCTTATGTAGATTAAATTCTTCATTCATCCCACCTCTGAGGCTTTTTTCTCAGCAGTAATCTCCATTCAGCCTTGACCATTAGCTGATTTTATTGTTTAAGAGGGAAGATAAGAGATGATGGAGGAGAAAAGAGGAGCAAATCTAGAAATAAGTACTACTGGCTTATTCCAAGCATTTGCTAAAGAATCACCCATTGAACTGTTGGTAGAGAAGAGATTTTTAAATTCCTCCCCCCCATTTGACTTGTTTTGACTCTCCCTTTTTCCCTGACCAGGAATGGTGCCCCTTCATTTTCTGAAACGGAGTAGGCAAATATCTTTGAATCACGTAGGCATTAGATAGCCAAGGTGCCTGCAAGCATTTTCAGTTAAAAGGAAAGTAGTAAATAAGTAGTAAACAAATGTTATGTTTTGAATGTGTAGTGCATCTTTCTGTTTTAAGAGCTGTTGAAGAATTGGTCTAATGCTTATAAAGGTGTTAATATTGCCATCTTTTTGAAGACATTCCACGTGTTTCCAAGTTTGATGTGTATTCCCAAAGAAATTATGCATTTCAGGGTTTTATTTTGGATGCAAATCTCTCATTCTGCTTGACACTTTAATTCAGATATTACCAGAACCAGTAAGAGCTGCTTTTAAAAAGTATCTTCTCCAGCATGTCTTTAAATAATGCCACTTGGAGTAATAATTCTGCTGCAGAAAGCTTGTAAAAAAAGTTGATTGAAGCTGTGTTCTCACTAGAAATACGTGCCTAGCAAGTGAAGGGCACAGGGATTTCCTAAGTGAGGTCAGAGCTGAACACACCTGGAGAACTATTGCTCAACTGTCCTGTGAATGGGGTCGTTTATCGGTGTTTAACAGCACGTCCAGCACACAGCGCTCACATGTCACATGCCAGTCTGCAGTCTTTAGATTGCTCCAGGGATTTAGAAATGCAGCGAAAGCTGATAGAAAGCTGATAGGCTCCCGAGTGACTCTGGTGATTGCTGCTGCTTCCCGATTCCTGAAAAAAAGGGTGTAATTGCTTTGGTAAAGTGGCAGAACTTCACAGAACCAAACAGCACCGGTAGCCCCAGTTAATATCACTTACTTAAAATCGAGTTCTGCTGCATCAGAACTGAAGACAAAGAGGGTCAGAACAGCAGTTTCCTAATTTTCAAGTCTGCCATAATGGGACGTCCTGTCCTGTGGAATTTTTCTGGTGCTGCACACTGAGGTCATTGGTGCAGTTTAATTTTCACCATAGCAGCTGAAATCAAGTGCCCGTGGAGATCGTGCAGTGCTGCTCTTCTGGAGAAGCACTAATGTAAACTGTGGGCAGTCGTGACTTGACAGCTGTGCTGACAAACCAAAAAAAGATGCTTTTTGCACTAGACAGATGTCTAAGTGTTGGAAATTTTCCAGTGAGAAGCAGAAAAGCTTTATTCTTCCAGTATTTCCATGTCACTTGAAGTATGGTTTAAATGAAAGGAATGTTTTCTGATGGGGAATGTTATTGCAGAGCTTTTTAGCATGCAGAGGATTAGCTTCTTAATCACCTCTGAGTAACTAGATTCTACCAGTTGTACAGGAAAATTCTTGGTGCTGTGAATAGTGAGGCAGAGTGATCAAGGAAACTGGTTATTTTATCTTCATTTGATGTATTTGCATGGCACAGCCAGTGCCAGAATGTCTCCTGCATTTGCATGTGTTCCTTATAATATTTATCAGATACAGACATGGCATTCATCGATTATTTTCCTTGAAAGAGAGACGTTGTCAAGTATTTCATCCAAATGAAAAACAATATGAGAAGGTTATATTTAAAAATATGCAGCCTAGAAGACAGCTCTTTAAAGCAGTGGTGTACCTCGTATATGCTGGAGTTTTGTCTTGGAAATTTGCTCATCAACATCAGTAGTTCAGTAAAAGCTGAAACTTGAAAGCAGATTCCTGTCTTGATGTAATATAAAGCTGATTTTACAAACTCTTTTTGTTTTTTGAGGGAATGAGAACCTGTTCCTTTTTTTGTGCACAGCATTGACAGCATCTTCTTCATTTGAGTTCTCATAACCACTTCATTCTGTTAAAATTCACTAGTATGGTGAAGAGGGTGTTTCTGTACAGGCAGGAAAAGGCAGGGAACACATAATCCTGTGCTCAGAGAGCACAATCAAGGATGGCTTATGCCTTGTACTGCACTTCTGTAAGGCTGCTTGGAGAAGCAGTTGTGATGTTAGGAATATTTTATGCAAAAAGCAGATAATCATGGTCACTATGAATACTATATGAATTCAAAGATGGGCTATGAGGCTTATGGCAGATGATATTCTGTGATCAACTTGCTGCTTTGATGAGTATTTGGGCATCAGTTTTGTTTGTACTTCTTGAGGAGGTTCATGCTTTGTTTGTGATCCCTGTGGTGGTCAGCCTGATCCTAATTAAAGCTTCATTAGCAAACTGCTTTAACCTGTACTTCACTGTCCATTGCAAACACACATAAATTCCATGCTGTATTTCACTGCTCTCATGAAGGGTTTGTTCTCTCCTTTTTTAGGTACTCTTCCACTCATCAAGATGGAAAGCTCAGATTCTAGTGACAAAGGAAGTATTGATCAATCAGAAGCCCAACGGCAGAGCCAGCTGGATCGGTTAGATCGAGAAGAAGCTTTCTATCAGTTTGTGAACAACCTGAGTGAAGAGGACTACAGGCTTATGAGAGATAACAATTTGCTAGGAACACCAGGTAGGTCATGCTTGCCCATGTCCATCCTGCTAGAGTTGCTTGTAAGCAATTTGTGTCATTTTCTGTTCCCCTGAAGCCCTTTCACCCATCTGTGTGCTGCAGCCATGTTCCGTGGTAGGAAGTAGCTTCTTGCTGATTTGTGCACATTTAAATTCAAGTGGTCCCTTGACTTGTGGAGACATAGGATGGTGTGGATTCATCAGATACAGAAGTCTGGTGTTTGTACAGGAACACCCAGATTTGACCAGTTCCAGTTATGAACCCTTAGATGGACAAAAAATCTCCTTTAAGCCTCTGTGTGCAGATTTTGTGCTGGTGAGGTTAGGAATTTGTAACCAGGGTAAGTAGTCAGTATGAGATTCTGCATGGGCATTTTGATGTCATCTCTCAATCAACTTGATGGATTTCCTCCTCATAGGTTGATACCTAATTCAAACCATGACTCAAGTAATTTAAACCTTCTCTTCCTGCTTGTGGAAGTGTTAACCGCAAATATTTCACGCTGGACACCCTAATGGGTGTAGGATGACAAAAATTGCTGCTCAGTTGTCGAGGTTACAGAACCAAAGAGCACATCTCTCTTGAACAGGATGGAGCTGTTGGGTATTTCAGCTTCAGGAAAACTAACTTGGGACAACAGTGCTAAAGTGTCTGAACTTCCCCTTAGCAACGTGCTTGGCAGTGCCATTGTGGCAGGATTGAATTAGACAGAACACAAGCAGTGGCTTGTACCTTCTTTAGAAGCTTTTGATAATGCTTGCCATACATATATGATTTGGAAATATTTTTGGTTCATTTGAGTTCTTCATAACCACTTCATTCTGTTAAAATTCACTAGTATGGTGAAGAGGGTGTTTCTGTACAGGCAGGAAAAGGCAGGGAACACATAATCCTGTGCTCAGAGAGCACAATCAAGGATGGCTTATGCCTTGTACTGCACTTCTGTAAGGCTGCTTGGAGAAGCAGTTGTGATGTTAGGAATATTTTATGCAAAAAGCAGATAATCATGGTCACTATGAATACTATATGAATTCAAAGATGGGCTATGAGGCTTATGGCAGATGATATTCTGTGATCAACTTGCTGCTTTGATGAGTATTTGGGCATCAGTTTTGTTTGTACTTCTTGAGGAGGTTCATGCTTTGTTTGTGATCCCTGTGGTGGTAGTGCTTTAACCTGTACTTCACTGTCCATTGCAAACACACATAAATTCCATGCTGTATTTCACTGCTCTCATGAAGGGTTTGTTCTCTCCTTTTTTAGGTACTCTTCCACTCATCAAGATGGAAAGCTCAGATTCTAGTGATAAAGGAAGTATTGATCAATCAGAAGCCCAACGGCAGAGCCAGCTGGATCGGTTAGATCGAGAAGAAGCTTTCTATCAGTTTGTGAACAACCTGAGTGAAGAGGACTACAGGCTTATGAGAGATAACAATTTGCTAGGAACACCAGGTAGGTCATGCTTGCCCATGTCCATCCTGCTAGAGTTGCTTGTAAGCAATTTGTGTCATTTTCTGTTCCCCTGAAGCCCTTTCACCCATCTGTGTGCTGCAGCCGTGTTCCGTGGTAGGAAGTAGCTTCTTGCTGATTTGTGCACATTTAAATTCAAGTGGTCCCTTGACTTGTGGAGACATAGGATGGTGTGGATTCATCAGATACAGAAGTCTGGTGTTTGTACAGGAACACCCAGATTTGACCCAGTTCCAGTTATGAACCCTTAGATGGACAAAAAATCTCCTTTAAGCCTCTGTGTGCAGATTTTGTGCTGGTGAGGTTAGGAATTTGTAACCAGGGTAAGTAGTCAGTATGAGATTCTGCATGGGCATTTTGATGTCAGCTCTCAATCAACTTGATGGATTTCCTCCTCATAGGTTGATACCTAATTCAAACCATGACTCAAGTAATTTAAACCTTCTCTTCCTGCTTGTGGAAGTGTTAACCTCAAATATTTCACGCTGGACACCCTAATGGGTGTAGGATGACAAAAATTGCTGCTCAGTTGTCGAGGTTACAGAACCAAAGAGCACATCTCTCTTGAACAGGATGGAGCTGTTGGGTATTTCAGCTTCAGGAAAACTAACTTGGGACAACAGTGCTAAAGTGTCTGAACTTCCCCTTAGCAACGTGCTTGGCAGTGCCATTGTGGCAGGATTGAATTAGACAGAACACAAGCAGTGGCTTGTACCTTCTTTAGAAGCTTTTGATAATGCTTGCCATACATATATGATTTGGAAATATTTTTGGAAAATTTTGCTTATTTTCTAAGGTGAAATTACTGAAGAAGAGTTGCTGAGAAGGCTACACCAAGTTAAAGAAGGTCCGCCACAGCAAAACAGTGATGAGAATAGAGGTATATACAGTATTTGTGAAAACTCTTAACTTTAGCACCCCATACGGACCTTAACTTGAGTGCAGGAGTGGAACAAGTTAAGCCTAGGCAGGTGCAAGGTGAGCTTTGTTTCAAAACTCAGTGAACCTTATGTCTGATATCTTCTGCAGAGGTCAGTTTGGGACAGATTTCATTCATAACACATCTTACTTCTATCAAAATAAGGTTTTGCTTAGGTTTATTTCTTTTTTATTTCATTTTTTTTAAGATTCTGTCTGCTCCCTTCTGGGATGCTTTTTGATGATCCCTCTCTTTTAATTCTTCCCTTCCAAAGATGCTGCATTGCTTTTGTTGTCACCCTTCTGTAGAGATTGGTGGGGGATGCTCAGAGGTGACCACTGGGGTTCATTCTTCAGTGAGACAGATTTGCTATAAAGCTCTGCAGATGAAGGTTGAAGACAAACTTAATTCTCTGTTTCACGGTCAATAGATCACTTAATTGTTTGGAAAGGAAAACACAGAATATTGATGTGTTATGACACCTGACATGTGACTTTCCATTTACTTATGATAGAAAATACATGTTCTTTTGATGACTTGTTTGCTCTGTGATGGCTGCAGCCTATCTGTGCATATTAGAGCAACGTCCACTCCTGCTCCCTTAGAAGAGCTCTGGTAGTTACAGAATTGTCACACTGCCTGTGAAACCACAGTTGCACTCTGTAGGATTCAGCACTTCTAAATTGTCACTCGTTAAGCTAAGCAATTATGTTCTTGGAAAAGATGGCTCCAAAATTAGCTCAGTACTCTAATTTTGGTAGTTCCCTGTCTTTTTCACAGGTGCAGAGTCCGCAGAAGATGTTTCAAATGGAGATTCTATAATAGACTGGCTTAATTCAGTCCGACAGACTGGAAATACAACACGAAGTGGGCAGCGAGGAAACCAGTCCTGGAGAGCAGTGAGCCGGACTAACCCAAATAGCGGCGACTTCAGATTCAGTTTGGAAATAAATGTCAACCGTAATAATGGGAACACGAATCCAGAAACTGAGAATGAGCCATCTGTAGAGCCTTCCAATGGGGAGGATTTGGAAAACAGCCAAAGTGACTCTGAAATTCCAAGGTCTGAATCACCATCTGTAAGGCAGCCTGGATCAGAAAGGAGCAGTGCGGAGGAGCTGACAGCTGAGGAGGCTTCCCCTCCTAGAGGGCAGAGGAGAGCCAGGAGTAGGAGTCCAGAACAGCGGCGGACGCGGGCTAGGACTGATAGAAGTAGGTCACCTATTAATGCAGTGAGTGAGGCCCCTCGCAGGTCTCATCACAACACATCATCTCAAACACTCGACCACTCCTCAGCGAGCGAGGCTGAGGGCAGCTCTAGAACCAGGCAGCACGTGACGTTAAGGCAGCACACAGTGGGGACTGAGGTGCCAAGCGAAAACGCAGTTCTGTTTTCCCCCCCTGAAACCAGGCCTGCTCCTCAAGCAGCAGGTTCTTCAGAAACCACCAGCACCAGTGAGTCCACGGCTCCTGGGCAGAGGCCTCCCACCATAGTGCTTGACCTGCAGGTGAGAAGAGTTCGCCCGGGCGAGTACCGGCAGAGGGACAGCATAGCCAACAGGACCCGCTCGCGGTCCCAGACCCCCAACAACACGGTCACCTACGAGAGCGAGCGCGGAGGCTTCCGGCGCACCTTCTCCCGCTCCGAGCGCGCGGGGGTGAGAACTTACGTCAGCACCATCAGGATCCCCATCCGCAGGATCCTGAACACGGGCCTGAGCGAGACCACGTCCGTCGCCATCCAGACCATGCTGAGGCAGATCATGACAGGCTTCGGGGAGCTCAGCTACTTCATGTACAGCGACAGCGATGCAGATTCCAGCGGCTCAGCTCCCAGTCACAACGTGGAGACTTCCGAGCCGCAGAGCGGAGGCGGGGCCGCCTCGGGCAATGAGAATGCAGATGTTAGCTCAGGGGAGGTGTACGAGGGTGGGCACGAGGCTAGCTCAACATCTGGTGCCAGGCGGGAAGGCCGGAATATGAGGGGATCGGTCACTTTTGAAGAAAGTGGTTCTCTACCATTCCTTAGCCTTGCACAATTTTTCCTACTCAACGAAGACGACGATGACCAACCAAGAGGACTCACCAAAGAACAAATTGACAACCTAGCCATGAGGAATTTTGGTGAGAGCGACGCTCTGAAAACCTGCAGCGTGTGCATCACAGAGTACACGGAGGGCAACAAGCTGCGCAAGCTGCCGTGCTCGCACGAGTACCACGTGCACTGCATCGACCGCTGGCTGTCGGAGAACTCCACCTGCCCCATCTGCCGCAGGGCCGTCCTTGCCTCTGGCAACAGGGAGAGCGTGGTCTAAAGCAGAGCTGGGCCAGTGGCCAGGCAGCTGGTGTGATAGTGATGGGCAAAGAAGTCACTTCCTTTATGGCCACTTTTTGAGTGGTACCTCAGTGTATAGTAATGACTCGGAGTGAATCTTCCCTCATGAAAGCATTTTCTCTGGATTCAAGCTTTGGGAATTGGAAAATTTCTTTAATTAGGTTTTTCGAGTTCTAGTCGGTTTGGGTGTTCAATTTCACTTGTCCAAAGACAACTCCCCATTTCAAAATATTTTTTTTCTTTGTGAAGATATTAAGTTCTTTCTCCTTCCCAGCCCTTGCCATCCCAGTCCAATAAACAATTTGTCCTCAAGATTGTGCTTCTGAGGAGTTATTTGAGAAGTTATCCCAGCTCAGTGTCCATGAGTCATAGAGGAATTTTTGCAAGAAATCCAACTCTCTGAAAAAATAATATTAATTTAATTGCACATTTGAACATACTTTTAATTTTCCTCATGGGTTAATATTGGACATGTCTGTGTAAATAACACTAATGTTAGCCCTTTCCCCATCACTATGGCACGCTGTAGGATGAGCTGTTAGCGTAATTGGGATATTTATCTTGTTGTGGAAATATAAGAATTGCCTATGCTTGTTTAAATAAAGGAAAAAAAAAATCTGTTTTAAAATTGTAAAGCTTTTTTGTAGAAGCTCAGTACTTTTCCAATGCACTGTTGTACTAACGCATTAAGAATTAAAATTGTACCATGCTTAGAAATCAAGAACGCTTTTCATACAAACCCAACTACACAGAGAGCAAACTGAACACGAGAGAGCTGCTTTTGTGACTGTGTACCTGTCAGGAGCAGTGCATATCTGTACTATTCATGTGAACAGCTACTGTAACATAAAAACAGTTGGATTAGACATTTAATTGCATTTTAAAAATCGGAAATTAAATGTTATAGTTGCAGTGTTTCGGCTCAGTAATGCCACCAAAAAAAAAAGATGATAAAAATTAGAAACCATTCTAATGGCTGGTTATTTCTTGATATGGTTGCAAATATGGAATAATACAAACCTGTGTGTACTGGCTTGGTCACTGAGGTTTGTGCCCAATTTTTCTATCAGCTTTTCCTCTCAATTTTTGAGGCAATGTTGTAACTTCAGCAAACGAGGATGGATAGGTTGGTTTTTAGTTCTTCACAAGCTTCAACTGTTCTGGTAACCTCTGGACGTGTTGAGTGCTCTGGTGTTGGTAGCCTGTGGTGCAAGTGCCTCAGGGAATAAATGGAAAGCACATCATTAGTATTGGGTTACATTTTAAAATGAGTGCACTTAAATGTGTAGGAGATTCTTGTGACTAACAGTAAAAACCCAACAAACTCTTTATATTCGTATTGAACAGAATGAAAATTAATTACTTTTAAAATTATGTACATTACCTGTTGCAGTTCAGAATTGGAGAATGTACCTCAACTCCCATCAGAGTGTATGTGTGGGGAAACGTCCTTAATTCTCACTGACCCCCTTGTTTGTTTTATTTTCTAAGGTTTTGGGTTTTTCCTGGCTTACATATGCAGCAGGAAAGTGGTTTTTATTTATTTCCTCTCCAGGGCAGTAGTTTGAAGGGATATGAGCTGCTCTTGCTGGCTGGATGGGAAATGTTGCTTGCTCCTCAGATGACAAAACCAAAGCTGGCCTATCTCTTTTTTCCTAATTAAAACACATTTTTGGTGTTTTATAGTGGTGGGTGCATAAACTATAATCACTGCTCTAAGCCATTTTAACATCTCATCAGCTGGTTCAGGATTCCACAGCATCCCAGAATTTTGGGTTATTTTTCTCCACGTGCATTTTGTGCTGTTGTTTCAGTGGGAAGCCCTGACTGGCTGCTGAGCTCGCTTTCCTCCTGGTGGGACACGCCATGGTGGCAGAGGGAACAGAACAGGCAGCTCACGGGTTTGGCTTTTTCCTTGGACACACATCACTGTAAAATTGGAGCTGGCTGTTGATTCTGGGTGCTGGCTTCTCTGTGCCAAAATTTCACAGCAAAATAACACTTCTGAATTTCACAGAGCAAATACTCGCTCTCAGTTGCGGTTTCCAGAATTACAGAGTGTAGAATTAGAAGGAAAAAAACCCTCTCTACGTGAGTACCATGTTAGATGTTGGAAATCAGAGATGTTCCTCTCAGACTAGAGCTGGTGACCACCAGGAAGGGAGCCCATTTTCCCAAACCCACGCGAAGCATGGCTGTGGTGCCTGTCCTTTTCCATGGAATTTCCACCTTGCTAGAACCGCCCCAGAAGAACAGTTTTGTTATAGCTTATGGCATGTCTTAACATTTTATCTTTCTGTAACAAGAGCAACTAATAAAATCTTGGAGGTTTCCCAAATGGTACCAAGAACAAATAATTTAATCTCAGTTTCAGAGACGTTGATCGTTCTCCATGGTTCCTCTGCCTTTCGCAGCGCTGTGTGTGCTAAAGGGGCTGGGGGCTCATTGTCTGCAGCAAGAACTTCATGTAGCTCAGTTAATTAGGGTAATTAAATTTCTATTTATCTAAATTTAGATTGGAGTTAGGAAAAGCCAATATTAACATTTCAGTTGCTTACAAAATGTGAAACACTTTCATAATTAAGACTAATTTACATTTCATGAATTATTTTGATAGTGAACATGTGTATTTAGCTCTTCGCTTAGTTTTGGGAGGTTTTTTTTGTATTTCTGGAGAGACAGCATTTTCACTCGTGCCTGGAGGGGTGTGAAGGGTTAAAAGGGCGAGTTTTGGCACGTTCCTGGGGCTGATTTGTGGGAATGATGGCTTTGGAGAGGCAGAGTGCGCTGTGGCCTGGGTCACAGTGCCACCGTGTGGGATCTGCCTTCAGCACCAGCGGCATTCCTTGCAGGATCAGCAGCTTTTATTTTGATTCCGAAGGATTCTCCTTATCATTTCGAGTGGTTACCATGGGTTTTTTCCCAAATGTCCAAACTCCTGCTGGGAATACCTGGTGCGTGAGCTTCATTCCTTTCTGACAGGACAGACCCCTGCCCACAGCAGTGACAGTGCTCACCGGGCCAAAGCCTTGTGACAAACACAGTTTTAATAATTACATTAGTTATGAGTTGCTGTTGGTTCATAGTTTAATTCACATTGTGAATAAACACAAACTTGGGGGTGCTCACTTTATTTTTTTATTTTTTTTTTCGGGTGGGAGGGCTTTACCTGTGAAAAGTCTGAATTCCTAGTGCTGATTGGACTTCCCTTTCACGTGCATATTTTTTATTTCAAACAAGTTGGGTTTTTTGCGGATAACTTGGATGCAGTTGAGTTGTTTTAAAACCGGTTTGATTGCGTAGGTACTTTGTGCATAGAAATAGGGAATTTTAAGGGCCTTTTGTAGGAAGCAGCTGCAGGACACAACACCCACCCTGATTGTCCATTGTGTCCCCTGCAGACGAAGGGCTTTCCCACCAGAGCTGCCACAATGGCTCATAATGAGTGTCATCCCCGTTTCCTGTCACTCGGCTGGGTTATGCAAATGTGGACTCCAAGGGCCCCTTTCCCGGGTGGCCCAGGGTGGATGAAGTTGCCCCACAACCCCGCGGTCTCACCACAGCCGTGAGGGGATGGATGAGGCAGGGTGAGGAGAGCTGCAGGTGAGGCTGAGGGGGGTTCTGAGCCTGCACACCTCCATCCCTCACTGTGTGACCCCTCCTGTGGGATCCGTGTGTCCATGGGGCCGTGTCCTGCTCTGGGAAGGGTCTGGGGAGCCCAGGAGCAGCCCAGCTGTCGGAAATGTCTGCCTGCTCCTCTGCCTTCTCCCAGGAGGAGGAGCTTTGGATGAAGGTTGGCTTGGAGCCACATGGAGGAATTTACAACAACTTCAGAAATATTTCCAGCCCTTATGTACAGTAGGCTTTTTGTTTGTCCTCGACTCGGGGGGGAAGCAGGAGGCTGAAGACACACAATTAATGGTAACGTACCCAAAGTACTAATAAGTGGTGGTGTGTTAAAAAAAAGAGGTTTGCATCTGTTATACCAGGGCTTCCCAACCTCTCAGATCAACTGTATCTCTTTTGTCTTATGGGGAAACATAACATTGAATTTATTTGATTTATATCTGGTTTTATTCCTTTTAGCTACAATATTTGAGCCCCTTTCTGAATTTCACTCTGCTGGGAAGGCTGTTGGTTGGGAAGCCCTGAATTCCACTGTGAATGTAACACTTTTCTTTATTATTTTTTCCCTTCTTAATTTTTTTTAACAGTGCTTTACATTTGTTTATACTGGACTTGTTTAATACAAACTGGTACTCAGAGGTTGTTGGACACAGTTTGACCAGCTTTGCCAGCTAACACTTAGGAGGAGTTTGTTCCCTATGTAAGGTGTTATAATGCAAATCTAAATAGACTCAATAAAATGCATGAAGTGTTCCTTTTGTGCTGGATCATCACTCCTTGGGTTTATTCTTATGGTGGGAATGCATTGGAGTACACAGTGATGGATGTGGCAGGAATTTATTTCCTCCATACACCTTTCCCCTTGAGGCAGAAAGGAAGGAGCAGGAACAGTACAGAATTAACTCCTCAGAAGAATTTATTACATTAGGACGTAAAAACAAATAAATAAATACCTCTGTGTCCCAGACTTTGTCAATCTGGCAGGGGATAGATAATGTAGGATACAAAAGCAGCAGCTCCAAGTTGTCTTCCAAGGAAAATCTGGGCCCCGAGCAGGGCTGGCAGGGCTGAGTCTCCCTGCAAATGCAGCCAGGATTCAGGGGGAGTCTCACATGTGGCTTAAAGCTCTGTCCTAAAATTAGCAGCTGAGGTACACGAATGGGAAGGAAGTTTTTTAGTGTGTGGGAAGCTGTATTTATTATCTGTGCTTCCCTCACCTCAATCCCATTCCTGGGTAGGAAGTGGGAGCCACTCGCCGAGAGCAGCGCAATGGCATCGGTGCAAAAGGGGACAGGAAGGTGTTGTGTCCCTGAAAAAGGACATTTGGGGTGCCAGGGCAGGGCTGCTGCTCCTCAGCACTGCCACTGGTGCTCTTCTCCAGCAAGGAGAAGTTGTGGGCTGCTGGGATTCTGCTCCAGCTTCACTCTCCAAAGGGAGAGCTGCTGGATAAAAGGGTTTTTTCTCATTCCCACGTGCTTCTTGCTCTTTGAGTTCAGTTCAGTCTGAAACTGGGTGTTTAACACAGGTGTAGCTTTGATTTCAGTGACTATTCATGAAGTGACTCCCACACTTTGTGTGTCAGGAGCTCTTTGCCTGGCTGGTAGCTGTCTCCAACCCCTCATCCCTCTTTCAGTTTGGGTAACCCTGGATTTGATCCTCAAAAACCCTCGATCAACCCCTGAATTGCTTAAAGAGCCCAAGCCAGCCTTGGTGCTCGCGGGTGGCTGACTTCATCCCTCTGTTTATTTTCTTTAATATATTTGAGGTCTTTGTCCTGACCTGTAAAACTTTATATAACCTTGTTCCTCCCTCTTGGTGCTTAAACTCTGTAACCTTTTACGTTGTCTTACTCCTCCCTTCAGGATATATTTCCAGACCTTCTCAGGGGAATGTGTTTGGCTGCTTTGCTGGTCCTGCCGCTGGGTGGGAGGAGAAAGATTGTGTTTGGTGACCTTGTGCATCCCAGAGCGATGTGGGGGCAGGAATAGCCATCCTTTTGAGGGCTTCTCCCTTTTCTGACCCCTCCTCGGTGGGATGGAGTGTTTGGAAAGAGAAGGGGGAGAGTAGCACAGGCTAGCTGCTCCTCCTGCCCGTCCCAGCTATTTCAAGTGTGATTGAACCTGTTCTGGGTCTTTTAACACAAAAAATCCAAACTCAGCTGTGTTGTGGCTCCCTAAACTCTTACAACAAATTTATATAGGGAAAATTAACCCTACTTTTCAGTCTTAGACTGGCTGGGCATTGTCTGTGGCACTAATGAGATGCTGCTGCCACATGCTCCAGCTGTTCCCCTGAGTAAATCCCCTGCTAAGCCGAGCATGTGAAAATGCAGGCGTCAGG